ATTTTTTGACCACATTTCAGATTTGTATGCCTTTAACAAAGTGACGTTGAACGGAGGGCATATTTAATTCTATCACTTAAAGATGATGCTGTGAAATTTGCGTCAACCGGCAGCTTGTATTTAAGGTTAAGTGGAAATTAAATTGGAAAATGTACAAGTGGATGATGGAGAAGGTCAAAAAGAATAAAAAGGTATAAATAGAAATAATAAATTAGGTAAGAAATGTCCCTAAAACCTCAGTTCTCAGTCAAGACAAACATGAGGCGAATTTTTCCACTAAGCTGCCGTCAAATGCCTCCAATGTGACAATATGCAAACGGGTACTTAGTGTTTTTGTAGTTATTAATGAGTTCATTTTCAGGCCCACTTCCTTACTTTGTGAGTTCAGCGGCAACATCTCGTTCATCTAACGAGGACTGTTCGCAAATAAGAGCTATTGCCATTACAGAAGCGTAGGCGATTTAGATTTAGCTTCTCTTCACTGATTTCCGAGTCACCTTTCCAGTCCAACTTCCGAAATACAATATCAACGGAGGCTGTGAAAAATTTGGGGCGATACCGGATCCTCTTACTCTAATAGATTAAAATGGAAAAACGCACTACCTGCACTTAACAATTCCCATACAGTTCCCTTCAATGCCTATATCTAGAACAGCTCGTAGCACAGTATTCAGCTCTACGTTATCAAATGGTTATTTCGTAATCGACGAATAGGAGAAAAAGAAGGAGCCGACAGTTCTTTGCCAGCAGTTGGTTTAGAGCAAAAATGTGGTCCATCGTGCTGTGCTCACTTAGGACTCCAGGTTGCTTCTTGTTCCAATCACTAAGAACAACGCGTGTGCGCAATATCCCGCCCAATTACGAACACAGCAAAACGAAAATGCATTCGCAAACTGGTGGAACGATTCCCTTCAATGCCTACATCTAGAAGAGCTTGTAGCACAGTATTCAGCTCTACTTTATCGAATGGCTATTTCGTAATCGACGAATAGGAGAAAAAGAAGCAGCCGATAGTCTTTTGCCAGCAGTTGGTTTAGAGCGAAAATGTGATCCATCGTGCTGTGCTCACTTAGGACTCCAGGTTGCTTCTCGTTCCAATCACTAAGAACAACGCGTGTGCGCAATATCCCGCCCAATTAGGAACATAACAAAACGAAAAAGCATTTGCGAACTGGGAAAACGATTGTCCAGAGAACCGACGCAGCAGCGACGGCATTTAACACGGCCCGAGGCAAGTAGGACAGCGCTCTGCAGGGCAATTCAGGCAAGGCTAGCCTCATCCCTCGCACCAGAAGAACCTACGAAATCATCCTGGTGAAAAGCCCCTACTGATATTCTAAGACACCGAATGGCTCGCAACATCACCGCCCCCTCCCCTCTCCCTCCTCCACCCCACCCCCCTATCTTTTTCCGGCCTGGAGCGCACTCCTCGCGAGCGGGCGGCACCACTGTGCAACAATTCCCGATCGTCCATCAAAATGTCCCCCTTATTTCCAGAACTACTAAAACTCGGCTCGACCCGACAGTGCCGGGAGGCGGGTCCTAATGTTTGGGAGGTGGGGGCGAGGCGCTGAGGGGGAGGGGGCGGGGCACTGGGCGGAGAGGAGGGGCGGGGCGCCGGGGCGTGAGAAGTGATGAAGGCGAAATTTGGAGACTGGGGATCGTAACAAAAAGAAGGGGACCAGTTATTGGCTGGAAAGAAGTTGAAACTTAGATTGGAAGCAAAAACTGGAAACGGGGGCGGGGTTTGTAGAGAGATTTCCCATCGGAGGAATGTACGGTAGAGGTTCAACGGTCTTCTGTCTCGGGGCTTCCGCTCGGGTATTCCTGCCCGGAGAAGCGCAGCCCAGGCATGCCGAATCGCACACCGGACGTCTTGTCTAGGTGCTAAAGCGTCCTCTCGCTGGAAGGGATGTGGGCATAGGCGGATCCAGGGCGGTCTCTTGAAAGGGGCAGGGGGGAGGGGGATTTTTCACCTTCCTCTTTCCTCTTCGCCAATAAACCCCACCCCCCCTTCCCTCTCTCGGTCACCCCAGTACACTCCCCTCCCCCGCTCGAAGGTCGCGATGCACCCCCTTCCCCTACTCCTCTGTCCCGCTCGTCACTACCCTCAGCAGCCCGCTATCCCTTCCCCCCTCCCCCCCCTTCGCCCCCATCCGCCCCTCCCACCGCTCCTATTCGATAAATTAAAAGCGGTAGAGCTCCTCGGGAGGAAGGGCCGGGGAAGGGGGAGGGGAGCAGGCAGTACACTTTTACAGTAAAACAACTACGACCTGAGCGCCTGGCGAAAGGCCCCTCGTCTTCCCCTTCCCCATCCCCCTTCCCCTCGACCCGGTAGTGGATGTCGGCAGCACTGTGGCCCCACGGCTGGATAGGATGGAAAATCCACAGAGTGACGCTCTGTGAAATAATCAGATATGTTGAGCAGTACGCCATCTTTCAAGATCCTCGAGGATCCCGCAGACTCCTCCAGAAACACTTTTGCTTGCGCGGTAACTCTTTGTTCAGTTAACATTCCCGATGTTTTTTGAACCTCGTTTTGTGCTTCGTAAGTGTGGGACCGAGTTTCTGGGGGCCGAATCCTGCACAGTTACGTGAAAGGAGTATTCTTTTTTACCTCCCCACCCCATCATAGGCGGATCCAAGAAGGGGGAGGCCATGAGTCCTTCGCCTTCCCACTCCCTCCGTTTCAAGCGGTACAGATACCAGGCTACAAAAGTCAGGGTCCGAAGCCAAAACTAAAGTAAACTCTCTTCCTCGCCTCCCTAGGAGTCCTACTTCCCTCCTTCTAGCTCATCGACATGCAAGGAGCCCCATCCGTCCCGCCCATTGCCCCTCCCCTCCCTCTCAGGAGTCCGTCCTGGATCCGCCTATGTACTTCATTCCCTTCTTTCGCACACCTTTTTCCAAGCATCACAATTCTCACATTCAACATGTTTTGCTGGTAGTTGCTGGATGTAACATATCAGTGAGTAATAGTAGAAGAGGGGAACTGGTGCCATCCACAG